TGAAGATTCTCTCTCAGCCCCCTGATACGCAATGCATACTCCATCTCTCTATATTGTGACATGATTTGTTCATCCTGTGTGATTTCTATCTTATTCTCCACCTCCTCCATCCTGGATTCCATTCTTGTTGCATTTTCATTAATCTCCTCGATCCTGTCGTCAATCCTTTCTATGTGCAGAGCAAGGCCCTGAAAGGCAAAAAGTATGTCCTCCCTTATTTGCTTATTTTTAGCCTCCAATAGTTCTTCTGTAACTGCCCTCCCTGCAATTATAAGATCTTTTACTTCCTCCTTAATATCCAAAGCATGCTTTTTTAAAGCTTCTTGTAAATCTTCAAGAGAAATTGCAGGAGGAGAGGGTGGAGGTGATTTTGGTTTCTGGGAGACAGGCTGGGTCATTGGGGAAGAGATAGTAGCTTTAGGAGGAGGAGGCAAACATTTTGAAGCCATTTTAATTAAGTTCTAAGAAGAAAGATTCTTGTTTAAAAAAATAAAAAAAGGAAAAGAAAAAATCACAGTTCTTTTAAATATTCCTTAAAAAAGAAAAAAGATTACAGAGAAAAAAGAAAAAACAAGAAATAAAAAGACAAATTCTTGCTTCTATATTTGAAGCATTAGTCTGTATCCGGATTTTAACTTTGTAATGCAGATCAAACAAGAAAGACAATTGCCATTTTGCCTTTCACTTTCCCTTTCTTCAAATGGGAAAGTAAACAAAAAGAGGGGGAAGATGCTTGCAGGAGTTAAAGTCACAATAAATCTTAAATCCACTTTCTCCTGGTCTGCTCCGTCTGCATTTGAATACTCATAAGCCTCCAAAAAAAAGCAGATGTGGGAGCAGCGGCTTGCTTCATCCCAGAACTTCGGGACAAAGACGTCCTGGAGTGCGGAGTTGGCTCAGGCTCCGAGGGAGCTCTACCCTCCGATCCCTGAAATTATGGGGATCCAGGGGAGCTCTTACCTCTACCTGAGCAGCTCTTCTCTTCCCTTTCTCCCAGGGAAGAGATTCAAGCCACAGGATAGCTGATTGTAAAAGTCCTGCTGCTTTTACACAACCCAGGAACGGGCTGCTTTGTGAAAAGCAGCCATCGTAGCTGCTTGATCCACAGGAAGCTCAAGGTTTGCTCTTGTTCACTTACCTGTTGTCCCATCACTGACACACTTTCACCTTGCTAATAGAAGCAGGAACTTTTCTAGTGACTAAAGACTTTTAGATCAATGAATACAAACAACTTTAATGCTAGCAGCCTTCAGGCTAATAAATGAGTTCTTACATAGCACTTGTGAAAATCCAACCTATGACTAACCATGTCAGATGTTGCAGAGTCTATTTCTATACCAGAAACCCAACATTTCAGCTCTCCAAATGCTTGTCGTCATGTGGCCAAAATAGATCTACCCACAGAGAGAAGAGAAGCATCAAGTCTAAACAAACCCCTATTTGCTGACATAAAATATGACACTTTTCCAGATTTTTCTTTTTATTTTGTATTGAAGTTCTAAACAAGTGAAATGATTTAAATTACATAGTAATGTTTTGTTATGCAAACATATTCCCAAAACACTAGTGGAAAAAGTATTAAAAAGTATCAAAAATTAATTATGTTAAGTATTCAGTTATTTCTTTATTGGATTTATAAACTTCTTGATATCATTACAAGTTCTGGATGGCTCAGCCATCCGCTCTAGACCTATGCTTGGGAGATGACTTCCATTTTAATTTAATTGCTTAAATAAGAGCATGGTGGGATCTATGGGTGGTATCATTCCAAAGGGCAGGTGCTACGATAGAGATGACTCAGTTGTGGTTCCATCAGATGGCACTGCTTAATTGTTGGGACCCAGAACATGCCAACTCTATTAGATCATATTGGACAGACAGCAATCACAGAAAACAGACAGTCCCTCAGACAATCAAGCCTGATGCCATGAAAGGTTTTATATGTGATACCCAATACTTGAATTGCACCTGAAAGCCTACTAGAAACCAATGCAAGTCACAAAACAGAGATTTTAAAGATATGCTGTGATATGACTGTAACTGCCTATGCTACTCCATTGTGCACCAGTTGAAGTCTCATGTAGCATGCAGGGTAACAGTTCAGCCATGAAGTAACAAAGCATGTGCTAGTCTCGGTATGGACACAACTGTCATGCTCAATGGATTTGTGAAATGCCCTCCAGGTCAAAATGGTCACTTGTTCCTCAAACCGCATACTAGTCCTAAAAGGGGAAATGCAATTCATGCTCTAAGGCAGGGGTCTCTAGTCCCTGGTCTGCAGACCTGTACTGGTCTGTGGCCTGTTGGGAACTGGATTGCACAAGTGGTGGGCGCACACAAAAAACTCCATTTGTGTAAGCAGCAGGCACACATGCGAAACCATCCCCTGCCCCCTCACCACTTCTGGTCTGTAAAGCTAGAAAGGTTGGCGACCGCTGGTGTAGGGTATCAAAGTTTGCTGAGAGCTCAAGAACTGGGAGAGTTGTTTATATCTCCAAAAAGAGAATCCCCATGCTTCCAAGCTCACCCAGGTCTTGATTATACATAGAAAAGCAGTTTGGTGTAGCGGTTAAGGTGCTTGCCTAGAAACCAGGAGACTGTGAATTGTAGTTCTCCCTTAGTCATGAAAGCCAGCTGGGTGACTTCAGACCATGTGAGGGAATGAACTGGAGTTGCTATCTACTTGTTTGAAAAGCAGCTGCAGTGATGCAGACAAGCCATCCCCATCTCTCCCCTAGGCATTCATTTATTCATTCATTATCCTCAGAACGCCACTCCCAGGCATTCAAATCAGTGTTCCAGCTGCCTGGCTAATGGAGCCAAACCCTGATGTTTTCAAGGACACACAGCAATAGCTTAACCTCACCTAGTCTTTTGAACTTACAAAAGCATAACCTGAGTGGAAAATAAGAGGTGTGTATATTAGGAAAGATAAAGGCAAATGGCCTACAGATGAAGCTGAGGGAGTATATGTAGACTGGCAACTATTACAAGAAGGGAAGAGGACTTTCAACTACCAGGGTCCCAAGTTATGATGAGCAGCACAGCTTGGTGGGAGTCCTGCCAGGAGTTTTGCCTGCAGCAATTACACAAGAAGCAACCTCCTCCCAACTAGTACAATAATGTCTTGAAGGCAAAGACTGTTATGTTACTTTATAGCAGTGTTTCTCAACCTTGACAATTTTAAGGCATGTGGACTTCAATTCCCAGAATTCCACAGCCAGCATTGCTGGCTGTGGAATTCTGGGAGTTGAAGTCCACATGCCTTAAAATTGTCAAGGTTGAGAAACACTGCTTTATAGAGACTTTTGTGTAAACTATTAACAGACTGAATATTAACAGACTGAAGATATCTTTATGTGGAACAGCTGTATGCTAGGGAAATCAAGGTTCTGATCACCTCATCTTGTCAATCTTTCAAAATAGACTAGGTCATTAGATCCTTGGTGGCCTGGGAGTAGGAAATTAAAGTTATAATTGTTAACAATTATATGGTTTTAGTAACAGAAACTTGAAAATCTAAAAGCACTTTTTCAGTGCTTTGTCAAGATACATTTCTGCTTTGGACTCAAAATATTTTTATTTGTTTTCTTGTTTACAGATCTTCTCTGGTCCTCAAGATTATATCTACAGTTTGTTACAGGTCTTAGGGATGAATACTGAGGGCTGGAAGATAGTAAGATTTTGATACCGGGCTCACCATATCTAGCTAGTCCTCAACTTCCTGCCCTATCATGATCTCGATTGAACTGCATACTGTCTCACCACCTCCTCCAAGGTCATGAAGCACATACAAACATTCTCAACCTCTTAATAACCACATTAATTACTCTATTCCTGTACTCAAGACACTTAGCAGTGTCCACACCCATCCATTCCTATTCACCATCCACCCATTCTCATTCACTACCCACTTTTTTTCTCTTCCCTGTCCCTTGTACACAGATCATACTGAGGGATTCCACTCCATAGAAAGTGAAAGATGGAGATTCAATGTTGAAAATAGCTGACAAATCAGATATAGATGTAACAGCAACCTGGTTGAAATATGAGGAGACCAGAGTAGCGTGAGGTTGATTAGAAACAGACCCCTAACTTTATTCAGCTTCCACTACACAAAAACATTCTACTAGTGCTTTACGTTACCGTTTGTAGAAACTTCCAACTAGATAAAAAAAAATCTGATAACCAATGACCACCAATATTCTTCCTGGTAGATCTACTCTGCTCACCAAAATTGAAAGAAAGGGAAATTCCAGTTGCAAGAATCACTGACACATCTTGACAGTCTATACAGGATCACATCCCTGCTCCCCTCGGGGACTGGCCTAGGGGGTCAGCAAGACACAAGAACATTGATGAAGTCAGTAAAAGTCTCCCCATTGCATAATAGTCAACTCTGAAGCACTGTCACATATCAGCCTGTCTTCCCTTCCTGACACATATTCCCAGTGCATTCACCAATAAGATGCCACTACAGGACCAGAACCAACTTCAGGAGAAAGAGTGAGGGAGATAAAGGTAAGGTGTAAGCTCCCTTTTAATGGACCCTCATTGAACAAACTGTATCCTCTATCCCAGGGGTAGGCAACCCAACACACTCAAAGAGCCACTTGGATCCGTTTCCCACCAAAAACAAAACACTGGGAGCCGCAAAACCCTTTTGATATCTAAAAGGAAGATAACACTGCATATATCCTTTTTTACCTTACACACATACACACACACACACACACACACACAAAGGTAAAGGTAAAAAAGGATATATGCAGTGTTATCTTCATGACTCATGGACTTCAACTCCCAGAATTCCTGAGTCAGCATAGCTGGGTTAGATAGCTCTCTCCTGCCCTTCCCGCTTCCTGCAGCAAAGGGAGGAGCCACGCCCAAAAAGATTTTCAGCTTGTCGGAGAAGACAGTGAGTCCACTCTCTTTTACACATACACCCACACACACACATACAAACGCACACATAAACACAAACAGAGACAGAGAAGCAGGGAAGCGCAATTGCCTCTCTTTGTCTCTGTCTCTCTCTGCAAATGGCGGAGGAGGCTGGGAGCCACAGGGGAAGGCTCAAAGAGCCGCATGCGGCTCCAGAGCCGCAGGTTGCCCACCTGTGCTCTATCCCATCCATTAAAAATCCACCTGCAAAACAGTATCTCAACAATAGGCCCCATATTTCCAACTTTTTATATTATTATTATTATGATGATGATGATGTTTATTTACTCTCCCCTTGAAATATGGCTGTGTTTAAATTGACAAATGAAGCCAGTTTCCACAGTGAACAATGTTACAATACTGTATATCTGTTTATAATTTCTACATAGAGAAGCTATATCTATAATTAAGATAAATTAATGCAAAAGGATGGGGCTTCATATGTTTTCTAATTCACCCATATTTGACCTCCCTATCATAAACTTTACTGTGATTAGAGGCTTCCACACAAACAGAAATCCTGCTTTAGCAAGAGCCCTGACTTCATAAACAATTCTACTACCATTCAAGTATACTTACATATAAACCTTTTGTTGATTTTCCTGCTCAATCTAGAAAAGGTAGTGATATCAGAGGAGGTATGGTGGATGCAAAGAACCTGAAGGCAGGGTATTAATCAAAGTCACGTACTCTGTCCCGGTATGATAGTTTAGGACCTAGACTCCTCAACCCCTCTTTGTAAAGACTTAGTTTGCAGACATCTTATCATCCTCACTGCCTTTCTCTGGTTCTTTGAATCTTTTGTAACACATAGTGCCCAAACTGAAGACAGTAATCAAGGTGGAGTCTGAGCAATGCAATGTAACAAATAAGTAAATTTCCTAATTTGGAAACTATACTTGTCGTGATGAAGTTTAACATCAAGCTGCCTACTTTGCGATCTAATCATACTTCTGATTCATAATTAGATTTTAATCAACTATTCCTTGATCTTTTGCCCAAGTATTACAATCAAGCTCAGTGTCACCTATCTTACGTTTGTGCATTTGTTTCATGAGTAACTTTGCATTTACCATCATTTAGTTTCATTCTGTTATTATATCTTTCTGGCTTCTAGCTTTACATTATCTATACAAATCATTCTGAGCTTTCTCTTTTAGCATATTAGTAGTTCCCACTTAGTTTTGTATCGTTTGCAAATTTGATAATAATTCTCAACTTCTCATGTAAATGATTAATAAAAAAAATTGAACCGCACCACTCCAACAGTTATAACAATCAATATTTCACTTTGTACCTTATTTCCTAATGATGAAAATATTTTGAGCAGTTGTGAATATCTGCCTCAGACTTAGAAAGATATGGTCTAGATGTGACTGGACATGTTTTAACATTCATTAAAAGATACATCCTTCTAGCCACTTTCCTTGATGTACTGGGAGTACACAGCAATGGTGTGTTATTTTTATTGCCTATTGCCCAACATTGTTTCCAACATTACAGTAAAATATTTTTTCACTTATCAACTTTTTAATTTCTTTGAATGTTCAAACCTATCAAATTAGGCTACATTTCTATCGACATCAAATAATGTAGCTAAAAGATTTGTGCAGAATGTGGATACTAGATATATGCACTAGTATCTGAAAGTTTTCTGACTCATTTCTAGAAATCTTATTACACAGTATGTGTAATTCATTATCCAGGATTAAAAGTGTTATCTTTTGGAGTAACAGAAACTACCCCACCAATTAATGAACTGTTGCAGATTTGTATCCTTAGTAAGAATATTAAGATCCAGGTAAGACCTCAAGACCCAGGTAAGGAAATCATTCATGTTTCAGTATTTGTTTTGTAAAAATAATTTGTTTTGTAAAAAATCTTACTGCATTTTTCAAAGTGCAACAATGATTAAAAACTTTTAATACAAGAAGGTGCAGGCTGATGGTAATGGTGAAATAAACCTGTTAATGACTGGTGCACTTAGTGAATAATATTAAAAGACAGAATGAAAATCTGTTCAGCCAGACACTGAAATCTCATTATATACGGTAATAAGAGTGAAGAGGCTAAATGACAACACTCATCCCACTGCGAGAACTGCCTTTTTCCTAGAAGAAAAAAGAAAACTGCTATTAGTAAGACGGCAGGAAAGATGACAGGTCAGCAGCCATTTATAGTGGACTTCATCATTTAGGACTATTAATTTAAAGTACATTTTACACTTGCATGATTTGAAGCCATCCAATCCTTAACGTTTTGGAGTGAAGGATGCTATTTAATAGTTACTGAATTTTGAGCATGTAAAGAAGCTAACAGCACTGAAGAGCCTCTCTTTGATTTAGGTGGAAAACATTATAGAGCTTTACAATATGACAGGCATTGCCAGTTCTTGTGAAGCTCTGGTTATTACTTATAAGGCCCTACCTGGCATAGGCACAGGCTATTTGAGGCACCACCTTTTTTTCACTGTTTCTGATTGCCCCACCAGATCTAGTAGAGAAGTCATGCCCTGGATCCCTTCTATCAAATTACACCATCTTATTGGACCCTGTACTTGTGCCCGCTTGGTGGCAGCATCTCCCCTATGAAGCACCACCCTCCCTCTGCATCCCATTCTCTATTTCCTCTCTCTTACAGACCAGAATGTATGTTTCAGGACAGAATAATTCATGTAATCATAAAATCTATGATAACACAATTTACCGACTGTTCTGCCGACTTTCTGAGTTTCTGCTTCTTGGTTGGGGTAACTTCAACGGAACAATAACTAGGCGGTTTTTCATATTGCCAGTCTGGGGAATGCTGCTGCTGATGCCGCCTATTGTTTTTCCGAGAGTTCTCCTGTTCTTCAGAGGAACTCCATGACTCCCAGGAGGATGGTGGAGAATAACTGCGATGTCTTCGATGATCCTGCTGACCAAAGTTCTTGTCACGTTGATACGTTCGTCGTTGTGAATGTTGATTTTTTCTCCCAGAGTGGTGCTGTCCAGAATACCCTCTTCTGGTCTCAAGATGGGAATCAAAACTATTTCTGCCACGTGAGGTGGGTATTACATCTGTTGTAGAACTCCGGTATCTATCATGATGGCTGCCATATCTTTGTGATTCAGTTCTGTGATTTCTATGCCTGTCCCATAGTTCCTGATCATAGCTGGAAGGAGAGTCATCATCCCAAGATGAACGATGCCTCCATCTTCTCTCCTCCCTCTGGTTTTCATTTGTGCTGTTCCGAGGTCTTGAAGTATGTCTAGTCCTCCCTGGTTGTGATGACCTGCTAGATCTCTGAGAGGATGAGATATGCTCAACAATAGGAGGCAATTGGATTACTCTGCGTTCCACAATCTCTGAACCCAAAGAAGAGAGAATGCTGGGATGCTGACTGCTTCCAACAGGATGTGAAGGTAGCATAGGCTGAGAAAGATTAAGGTTCCTGATCTCAGATTCAAGATGGTCCAAGATCTTGTTGCTAGAAGGCATTTGGGCAAGTGGGGGCATTAATGGTTGGCTGCTTTGGAGAGATACGTCTGAAGAACATAAATTACAGAAAACATAATGTAAAATGTTTCAATTAATTTCTATCCAAAGGGAGTACCTTTGGATAGAAAAGCAAGATATAAATATACTAATGATCAAATAATCTCTCTCTTGTTTTGATAGATGGCATACTCCTAAATACAACACACTTAAAAAGTTACTTTTGCACAGAGCACAAAGGACCTTTGCAAAGCAAAGCATTTTTATAATACAAATTGAAAAGGGTAGCTTTTCTCAACTGATTCAGCATTATGCTACTTAATTATGTCTATGGCCAACTCTCAAAGGGATCAAAGTTTCAAAAATTGTGTGTAACCCTGCAGTATTGGCATGCAAAAAGCCAATGGCAGGATAAGTTCTGGTTATATTCAAGTGTAATCTTGAAATTTAGTTCACGAAAAAGAAAGTCAATACTCAAGACAAATAATCTGTCCCAGATAGTAAACTGAATATTTAATATTATCTGATCTCCATGGACAAATAGCTTCAAATGATAAAAAACATCCCTCAACTTAAATTCTCCATCACTGTGCTATTGTGCCTCTGGGAAAAGAAGCATTTATAATGTCATAGAGGAAACACTCTAAATCAAGTGAAAAACCAAATGTTTCAACAAAGGAACAACATCCCTTGGAGCTCCTACCTCTCTGCAAAAGTGGGTTTAATTGGTATGAAGATGACTGAGAGTGGTGTGTCATCCATGGAAGAAGTTGTTGAGCTTGTTTCACGAAGTGGTGCCGTTCCATGACTAGAGAATATAAAAAAAATTGATATTATACCTGAACTACATTTAAATGCCCCTCACAGAACTGTCAAACTGATAGAATTACTTTGTATTTTTCAGAGTTACAATAAAAAATCATTGCACTTCAAGGATGATTATCAGGTTCCTTCTCACTTATTTTAAAGTAAAGGTAGTCCTTGACTTACAGCCATTCAAACTTACAATGGCACTAGAAAAAATGACTTATAACCTGTTTTCACACTTACAACCATTGTACCATCCCTATGGTCACATGATCAAAATTCGGGTGCTTGGCAACTGGCGTGTTTTTATGACAGTCCTGAAGTCATATGATCACCATTTGTAACCTTCCCGGCTGGCTTCCAACAAGCAAAGTTAAATGGAGAAGCTAGATTCGCTTAACAACCACATGATTCACCTAACAATTGCACTGATTTGCTTAGCAACTGTAGAAAAAAGGTCATAAAATGGGATGCAATTCACTTAACTGTCTTGCTTAGCATTGAACATTTTGAGCTCAATTGACTTGTTTAAGTCAAGGATTACCTGCAGATTTAAGATATATTTAAGATCAGTGATAATATATTCATTTTATCAATATGAAGGTGACAGGTCTTTCAACTTTTGCATTCCAGCCAAAGCCCCTTACATTCCTTTTCACAGGAATGTACCTAATTGAAGGAAAAAAAGATATTATGATTAGACCTCAATTACATGGCAGTAACTATAGAAAATACAGTCGAAGACAGGTTGGTGGGGGTCCTATGAAAAACTATGAAATCTCCTCCCACAAAAAATCATTTTTTGAACTTTGTTACACAATGCTAGTACTCACAGAGGTGAGAATTTTTACATATTGCAATTCAGCCACTGTGTTCCACTTTGTTGTCATTGCAAGCAATGTAAAACATGGATTGTGTGTTATATTGTGAAGTCATCCAGTTTTTTGCAACTTTTGGAGGGATGTTTCCTGAGGCCTGAAAATTATTTCAAGGATTCCTCCAAGGCAGAAAGGTTGAAGAAAGCTGTTCTATATATTTAAGGACTGAAGGAAGTGTTACAGAATTTCTGAAGCATTGGTAACCATTTCTTCTGAGGTCCTTAGTGTCCACACCACACGGGAGCCCTGCTGCATTTCTTTTATGTCAATACTACAAATGCTCAAGCGTTGTTTTTTTTTAAAAAAAAAGCAGACCATTAATACAAAAAGCTGCCTCACAGCAGACAACAGCTCTGATGTGATCTACAAATGGCATAAATATGTGGAGAAAGGGAATGGCAAACAAAACATGGCTGCAAGGTCTGGGGAATCATGTTCTAAAATTTCCTTCATGCTACTCTATACTTTAAAATCTGCAAAAGTCCTCCTCATATTGCTGCCTGAATTAGACTGGTGGACACAGAAATGAAAGTCTTTTCTGCACTGACCGAAGTTTAATTATATGAAGTTTATTGCTACCGATATTTTTATGTGGGATACTTTTTTAAAAATACCTAAGTGTGTTCTAGATATTTTTTTTTAAATAGAAAACAACTGGACAAATGAAACAGGAGGGACACTAAATCTGGAACAATGTAGCTTCTGGATATGATTGTATTTCTTTTGGTTCTGACTTCCCGAAGTCACTGAAGTACATATGGAAGCAACCTACATTTAAGCATGCCTCTTCTGTGCATTATGTTTTAAGGATTCTGGATTACCTTTTTCATTGCAGCAGCAACGAGTTGGGCAGCAGGCACAGCGCACATGGCAGCAGCAATACTGAGGGCAGCACTGACACCAGCATATTCCAATTAGCATGAAGAGGAGGAGGGCACCCAGAAGGATGAAGATTACTGTCAACCAATCTGCATCAAGTAAAAAGCCCCCCCCCCAAATGGTTATTCAGTAGTTGTTGCTTTCTCCATTCCTAGGTACCTGCAGACTCATCTTGCAGACTGAGATACAATGTTCCCAATTTTTCCTGATGTTATCTTTCATATCAAGTGCTTACATTCAGACAGAATGATTCAAATCTTAGTTTGTTCACAACTTTCCATGTGGTTGTAAGAAAAAAAATGCAATCTATTCCTTTCTTCTTCAATTATACACAGTTTAGTATTGTTAAAATTAGCAAGCTTAATAAACCAAATTTGATTGTGTCCACCTAAGATTCCATGAAAATATCCTGAACCATTATTTACTATGATAATTTTCTGCAACCAATATGATTTTAAAACATTCCCTTCAGGATTAATTAGATATTTCATTATATTTTCTATTGTAATATCTTGTTAGAATTGTTAGAAGTATTGATCATAGAAGAGTCAGATGACATCAGAGCTGTTTCTCCAGAAAAGTGGAGTGCTAGGAACAACTAAGAACCCTCAAACTCCCAGGCCCCTGATAGAGAACCTAACAGTGAAGAAGATACATACTACCATAGGGATAAGATGGGATTTTTAAAAACATATCTATAGTTTAACACATCCACAGTTAATCGAATGCTGCAATCCAACTGTATTCATCAGGAATTTCTAGCTGAACTTAATAGCATGCATCTTGACAATCAATGTACAATTCTTGCTTTATTTCCATTATTTATTAAAAAACAACATGGTAGGTACAGAAAAAGAAAATTATCCTAAAATTTGACCCCCCCCCCCCAAAATGATGCCACATACTCAAAACAATGAGCTTGATTTCTTTGTCTGGATCACCAGTTGTGTCTCCAGGAGCTTCAACAGTACAATAATAGACTCCGTGGTCCCACCACATAACTTCATTAATTACAAGATCTGCTCCTATATAAAATGGAAAACAACATAATGAAACCCTACCAATGTTAGTTTCTGACAATGACCTAAATTTCTGAATAAATAAAATATTTTCAGCAATAAGAAGTCAGCAATTATAATCTTGAGCAATGCTCAAGCATGGTAAGTATCACTGCGGTTGGAGGCTTATTTTACACTGTGCTAATCTGAATTAATGCAGACAAAAAAAAGAATCCTGAGGAAAATTTATTGTTCAATGGACATAAAATAGTGCTGAATAATTGTAAGCTGCATATTGATCTGGTAAATACTTATCGGTAACAATCATTCTTACTAGTAACAATCATTTAAACATCTTACTTTAATCTGATGCCCTTCAAATTATATTAATAATTCAAATATTCCTATATATTCTGGTATGATGACAGAATTAAATGAGGATTGCATAAAGCATTAGAAAGGAGTATCAAAAGCATACTATGCTACATAATACATAATTTGTTAGACTAATTTTTGGAAGGGATTTTTGAGACTGCTAATATATCAAAAGATCACTTACTATTCTGAATTGTGATCTTTCGCTGCCTGTAATCCACACCCAACACTGGTTCATTCTGACCTCTTTTTTGAGCAACAATGCGCACTTCCCGTTGGTTGTCATTGCAGTCATTGGAAGGATCCTGGCCAAGATCTTGGTATGCCTGATAGGCTGCAAATAAAATGTCAAATTATTTATATTGTTTGGAAACAAACTTCCCCCGTTCATTGTACTTTTGTATAATTTCCTTTAATAGTGGAAGCAGTAGAAAAAATAGGATTGTATTAAGTAACAAAACTTCTTGAAGAAGTTCTTTATGTTCTTTAGGGTTTTTTTTAGTTTTGATTTTTAGGCTGATTGCCTAAAATTCCAATATTTACAACAGATTTAGAAAAGACAACAAACTGCCTCTTGTTCCTTTTGTGACCATACTAGCATTATAATCTCACTTCCAAAAACCTTCTTACTTACAAAAACATTTTTGCTCATTGCAGAAGTAAGCAATTGGCACAATATCCTTGTTGTGATGATGGTATACCTCAGGGGTGGCAAACCTATGGCACGGGTGCCAGAAGCGGCACTCAGAGCCCTCTCTGTGGGCACGCGTGCTGTCGCCCCAGTCCTAGGCCTTCAGCTGGATTTTAAAAAAATTTTTCGCTTTAGGCCTCCGCTGCCGTGTGCAAAAAAAAAAAGTTCAATCAGTCAATTTTAACGTTTTGCGGGGAAAAAAAAGATCTTGCAAAGTTGGAATTGATTGATTGAACTTTTTAGTTCCACCCAGTCTGCTGTTACCACCGCAGCCACGCCCACCCAGTGGGCCATGCCCACCCAATGGGCCACACCAAGCCAATGGCCCACCCCAACCTGGCACTCGACGATGCATAAGTGGGTTTTGGGTTGAAGTTTGGGCACTCAATCTCTAAAAGGTTCGCCATCACTGGTATAGCTACATATATTTCTAAAGGAAACAGATAACCAATGATTGGTAATCCTAACTATATCCCATTTGGTGGGGGGGAAAAGGCACAAGACAACTGAAATAAGCAGATGTAAGCAACTGGTGTGCCAAATTCACTGGTAGGTAAAAAAGGAACAAGAGCTGACAAACCTGTAACAAAATAAGTCTCTTGTGTTATATAAGCCATACATTTGAAGCATGTCTTACTAAACCAGTGATTCTCAACCTGTGGGTCGGGACCCCATTTGGGGTCGAACGACCATTTCATGGGGGTCGCCAAACAAGGCTGTCCGCCATTTTTTTACCCCTTTTCTTTGGCCACACCCCTGGCACCCGGTGATGTATAAGTGGTTGGGGGTCACCACAACATGGGGAACTGTATTATGGGGTCGTGGCATTAGAAAGGTTGAGAACCACTGTACTAAACAAACAATTGATGACTTCACAGATCACATCAAACTGCAAACAAGCAAATACATTTTAGAACAGTATATTATGTCAACCACGCCAATAACTGAATATAGGCTAAGCTCTTGGGATCTGTCAATAAATGGGAATGGAAAATGATGGACCTAGGAGGCTTTTTAACAGAAATAAACAACGACGATAACAATTCTAAGTAATAATAAACAATTAGTTTCATTTTAATTTAATTCATTATTTATATGGTTCTCCTAATTCTGACTTGGACATTTTGAATAGAGATGGCAGGTGGGATCCTTTATCTTGCATGTGAATTGACAGAGTTTGGAGGGGGGAATGATTTGCTGAGTACTGTAGCAATCTGGATATGGAAGGCAGACCAAGATATAGTAGGAGACAAGGAGGAGGAGTGCATAGATTGTTCCTATTCTCAACTCCAAGGAACAGTGATTAGATTCTTGGCAGAGGTGGCTTTAGGCTGTTGCTGATTAACGTCAGGTTGGCTTAAAATAAAGCTTTCCTCATTCAAAATCTCATTCTGAAGACAAGCAATCTGGATTATATTACCAAAACCTAGCTAGACATAAAAGGTGGACTTCTGAACTACCATCCAGGGAAGTGGCTATTTTTTTTAACAGCTAAAACTTTATTTAGCAATAATACAGCATATACAAGTCTATATTCATTTCCTCATTTTAAAATGTGTATCAACAGTACTCTGTGCTTATTACTTTATTTAAAATAAAGATGCGTTTTCCCCAAAAAAATCATCTGTGAATAAAGAGATAATTATTGAAAGTCAATTAATAAAAGATACAAGCAGGGTGTATTACATTGTTTTTATGATATAAAAAGTAGTATAAATTTTTGAGCTTAATACCAAAATTCCCACTATGTTGTACATAAATGTCAAAAAAGAGAATAAACCACTCTTAAATTAATATAGGTAAATAGTTAATTTCTGACCTTCCCCTTTGTACCTCAGCTGATTTACAGTAATTGTTGGCATTAGAAACCATTCTCTAACTGTATTTACCATGCTAATATGTGGAATTTATTCTTGCTTAAATTTAGTTAAGCTTTTGTTATATATATTTATTGTTATTTTCATCATTGTTGATATTCCCCAAAATTAAGTTCTTAATCTGATATTGCCAGTAGTTTTTCTTCCAGTGTTTGTCCTTACAGCTGTAAGCATGTATCTTAATGTTATTTTATTGATGTTTTCTATGATTATAGCTAATAAAAATGCAGTTCCATTTTGAATGTGATCCCTAAAATTCTCTGAACAGAGAATTTTTTCCAATACTTAGGGGATGTCTACATATCCCATACATACAGTAGACTGTTTCTTCTGTTTCATAGAATGTTCAACATTTATTACTATGTTCTCAATTTTGTAAATTATTGACAAAGTTGACTACTACCTGTACAAATTTTATACCAGTTCTCTCTGAAACCATAGTTTGGAGTAAGTTTTATAGATGTATTCTAATTCTTCCCACCGCTGCATTGGGGCTATTTCTTTGAAATGTTGCATCTAATTTGTCATGCATGTTTTATTTACTCTGTTGTAGTATTATATACAACTAAGCAGCCTAGTAAATGGTTGATTCAATATAGGCATTTCAAATTCTATCATTTCTTTTTAATGTTCCTTCCTCATTTTTGAGGTCAGATCTTTTTCTTTGAGCAGTTTGTTGATGCATCAGCAATAGTATATTCCAGGGAAAGTATTTGAAGATTTTGTGCATGGAAAAAGAAATCAATTTCTTTCCTTATATTATGCTACTTTTGTAGATAGTAATCCTTGGCTGATCCTTAGCAGAAGTACTCACCCACAGTATAGTAATCAAGAATGGGATCTTTGCAAAAAGATTTATAGCGCCAGGTAACAACTACATCCTGCAGTGGTGCTGAAGTACTATAGTCACATCGGAGGGTCACAGAAGCAAATAAAGTTGTGTATCGCTCAGTATCTGGCACTGTCACAAGAACAGAGAAACAACCTACAGGAACAAACACAAACAACACATGGTATTCTGGGATATTAAGTATTATAATTGCAAATTAGGAAAGAAGTGTGAAAAAGTGAAAATGAAGTCAATTTTAGTGTCTGCTAAAAAAGAAGCTTCTAGTGTTTTTCTTCAAATATTTGTCAGGTTTAAGAAATCAGGATAGGATTCAAAAGTACTACAAATTTATTTCACTCTACCTATACACAAGAATCTGATCTACTAATGGTCAAGGTAAATTGGCACTAGATAAGAATCAACAGGCGTCAAACTGGACATAGTTCTCTTTTGCTCCAGACTGATGGTGCATTTGACCTCACCCTCTGGCTCAGCCTGGTCATCTCCTATAATATTTCCCACAAAAAAATTAACAGCAACATGGAACAGGTGTTGCATCTTTGACTCCACCACTTCATCAGCTCCTATAGATTTTTTGCAACACTGTAAATGCATAAGGGAGTCATTGCAAAATCTCCCTGGTTCCTGGGACTTCCAAGCCAGATCTTGAGGCTTGTAATATGTTGAAAGGGAAGGAGCAAAACTCACTTGGGGAGGGGGAAGATTCCATAAGGTGGGCACCGCAGCAGAGAAAACCTGCCTCCTGGGATCACCAAATGTGATTCCCTAGCAGATGAGACTTACAACATGCTTTTTCTCCCAGACCTGATGGGGCAGGCAGATATAATCAGGCAGAGGCTATTCCTCAAATAACCTAGTCTCATGCCATGAAAGTCAAAACTAACACCTTTAAAGGTCAAAATTAGTACCTTGAATTGGATCCCGAAGCAAACTCATAACCAATGCTGGCAGAAAAGAGGTGTAATATCTATCATTCTAGGGGCACACTGAAAAGGGAATGCTTTAAACTTGCAATATCTTAAAGCATCTTAAAAGTATTGATCCACACTGTCCAGAGTCATAAAGTATGAATTCGGTGGTTTTATATTTTTTTAAGTAAAATAAATTATTAATACATAGTTATATTAGATATACCTATTATCTTAGCTATAATCCAATGAACTCTCTATCACATAGGTATACAAGATAACATAAAATAAATATTCTAGTGTGAAAGCTATCACAGTACTTGTGATAACATAAATAAATATATGCTACCTTATGTGGAATAATTCAAATATTAATGACTACAGAGAATACAAAAGAGCATTTCATTTCAGCAGTTTTGTTCCTTTGAATTATAAACAGTACTAAAAGTAATTCTATATGAGAAATATTAAAACAGTTTCTCAGTTATGTAAAATGCTTCCTCTATGGACTATCCTGCCCTTTTCCAATGGAGTGTCCATTATAACTGTTGAACTGGAACATCTGCATACCTCAATAGCCTAGTCTTTGCATATTGAATCTATTACATTTGGAGGGCAAATAATCCAAGTATTATACCTCCAGGGAAGTTTTAAAGAATTGGGAAAATATTTTTCAAGTTGGGGCTAAAAAAAACATTGTGAAGAGAGTTCTGTGTAAAATATCCTGTATATTATAGACTGGAACATGATTTGAAAAACAGTACCAAAATAGAACACGTCCGCTTTCTAGACACTGCTGATCTACCCGAATTCTTCTCCATAGGAACTACAGCTACTGGAGGACATAATCGTATAACTTCTGAAAGATCTCCGGCCTTCATATCTGATCTAAGAATTCAATTCCATAGAGAGTATCCCTGAACGAATACAATATAGTGGCACTCTCTTTAGGCTGAGATGGAAATCCATCCATAAACTGTTTTTATTCAGTGATTTATAGCAGAGGTCGCCTTTTGGGCACCAGGGACGTGGAGAGAAGTTTTTCCGTGGACTGGAGGGGGCATGGTTTTGTGTGCTGCCTGCATTCTGTGGATGGGGCTTTCCTTGTTTGTGTGGACCGGTTGCTGACATGCTGCAGCCTGGTACTGGTCCAGGGACGGGGGTGGTGGTGGGGACCCCTGATTTATAGAACTTACTGCACCATTTAACCATTACCATATTAACAAATTATCAACATAGATTTTTATCTCTCAACAGCTCTGGCTTGGTGATACTATAAGATACTATTGAGGAAATGACATCTCAAAAGATCTCTTTGTAGCAATTTTGAAAAAAAAATGTAGTTGTTAGTCCTCCACTGACAGTGCTCTAACAATATAATGGTTAGAAAGAAGTAATTTCTCAAAACTCTTCTATTCTGTTGATATTCTTCTCAGCATGGAAGAAAATACATAATCTTTGTTCTCCTATAACTTGGCAAGGTACAATACATTGAAACATATTCTAGTTGCATTAGCCACCACCAAACTTTTAAACTATATTTTATACAAATTTGTTTTAGTGCTGTGTTTGCAAGTATGGTAAGCAAATTTGTGAAAAACAGGAAATATAAAATTGATGCACGTACATTATAGGCAGTGGTGGGATTCAAATATGTGAACAACTGGTTCTCTGTGAGGATGCTGCTTCTGGAAGTCCATTCTGGGCCTGGGCAACAAAAAATTAGCTACCGGTGGTTCTGCTGAACTGGCGCGAACTGGCTGAATCCTACCACTGATTATAGGGTTTGTGACTTTGGTTATTTTAACCTTGGAAGGCCAGAGTTTACCTTAAACAAACTATTGTATATTCCTCAAGGTAAAAGTTTCACCCAGGAGCAATAATAGCTAAAACAAAATAAACTGCACACATACTGTATTTCTGTGAATCCAAAGTTATGCATTCAGTTACATCACAATTTTCATCTAAAGAAAAGTTACTATATGTGAATTTCTAACAATTCTGATTTGGACAAAACTTCTACATGTATGTATGTACTATATACAAATCTCTATACACATGCAACTTTACAACTGAAATGTAAGGAGGTGAGACTAATCAATCTCTAGATCCTAGTCAAAGCCACCAAACTGCAATTTTACATCAGCAATCATTTCTCTTCTTCTAAGCAAAGTTTAAATAATTTAAAACAATTGAGAAATAATCTGAACAGGGTTGATCAATTGCTCAACCTCCAGGTTGTGCGATGAGGAAATTGGTTTAAAAAAAAAACAGACAAGCGGGGAAGAACCAGGTAAGGGAGCACAAAAGTAGGAGTCAATTTACTAGCGAAAAGCAAGAGAAAAGATCGAAGTTACTCCCATGTGTTTAGCCATCAGCTTCTCTCCCCTCTTGTCGACTCACCTGTCGAGGTGAGGCCGATAAAGAGCGCTTGGAATTGCCACTGCCAGATCCAGGCCATGGCGTCTCCTCCCACTCCCTGGAGCCTCTAGGAGGTAAAACCTCAGTCCGCCCTTCCCCAACTCCTAATTCCACGAGTTTTCTTCTGTTTTTCCGCAGCCGAGGAAGTGAGCCTCGAACCTTTTTTCCCCCGGGGGAGGAGCGGTTCAGCGCAAGCAAGCAGCCACTTCCTCCGTTCAGTCTTCTCCAGCACCTGTTGCTGAAGCACTTTCCCATTCCCTGTAGGTGCACTCCGCGGCGAATACCTGCAGGTGCCGCGCTCGCCCCAAGGGTCCCTCCTTCCTTGAGGCTCGCTGGGAAAGCGTGTACAGAGACCTCTGCTGGATCAGACCAAAGGGCGCCGTCCATTAATCTGTTCCAACAACAGCTAGCCCGATGCCGGAGAAGGTAGAAAGCAAAATTGGATGCAATAGCACCGTCCTCGCTTGCTTCGCTTATGCCGGCTGTGTTCTCACGACGTATAATGAACTGGACCCGGTTATTAAATTAGCTCGATTGTCTCGGTTAGAGCGAATCCACACGCCATACGCTAATTACACTACTAGATGGAATCACGTAAGGCAACGGGGTCGCAAACTCTCTGGATCCAACTGTTACACGTGGTGCCAATTAATATGTCACTTCTGTTCACGACATCCCTTATTTTCTCTCCTTTCCACCTAAGGTCGCCTTACACAAGCACTTTTAGAAAGTTGATGGAATTGGCGGCTATGTGCACACAAGGTTGCACCTTAGCGTTATATAAACCTGTGTAGAGCCTTTGAAAATTTATCCCGAATACGGGCATTTAAACCAAAGAGGTACATGTGTGTGCTACACACACCATCTACGTGCACATTTTTTTCTCTCTTACTGTGCCCAAGGGGACGGTTTATTGACTTGAGCATCCATTTGCAAAAGATTGTGGCCCGATCTTATCTATTGGATGTTTTTAATCCAAAAACACAAGATTTTTTGAAAACTTGATAATTGTCGCTAGCAGAAAACTGCCATAAAGCGTTACACTTGCTATTCACTAGTAAAATTAAAAATACATTGGCCAACGCCGAATTGCAGCGACCACGCCTTTGGCAACTGTAGAAGAAATGAGCTCATTTACTTGATCCTCTCGCCCCGCTTTGAAGTTTCCAGCATGTTTAACTGAGTGAAGAAATCAACAGGTGCAGCTTTCTCCCATTACTGCATTTGCATTACAGCTCTTGAAAGTTTACGAGCCTGTCGGCTGGAAAATGGCGGCAACCCTCGTGAGAGATGGGAAACTGTAAACGAGCCGGTCCTTTTTTAAGGAATGTGTTGGTATTTTTTTTTTTTATCCTGTTTGGCAACTGTTAAAACTGGGAGACTTGGATAGTCGGCGGTATATCGCAAGGATAACAAATAAACAAGCTCCCTCTTTTAACACGCTGTAAGAGGAAACTTCTTGAACGCGGAGTCATTTATTTTCGGACTGATCAAATTAACAGTCTCCGCGTTTCCGTAGATCTCAAATGAATAGGAGTAGCGGCCGGCGACTATGGGAGTTGCAGTCCAGCAAAACTAGAAAGTAAACGAGGACTTCAATCCACAAACTGATTCTTGTTCGCTTTTTATCCCTCAATTTTCAATTTACCGCCACCATTCCAAACCTGCTTATATAAGGAACACATTTCTTCCGTCTTCTTCCTGTACAAAATGACTTCCTATGTCCGCCAGTTAATACAGAAGCAAAGTTTACAGGTACGGAATCGCTGTATGAAAATACCCAGTAAAGCCACCACGACGATCCTATTACTTCACGCAGGCGTCTGAAGCACGCGCAATTTTAAAACTCAATTTCCCAGATATCTTCGGGCGCCCGTCTTTGGTTGCTAAGCAACCAGTGTCAACTACAATGGAGCCGAGTGGGGAACAGGAGGGCGACGAAGCAAAAGGTAACTTTCCCGCTTTCTCCACGTAAGACTTCTTGGAATTGACTTCCCTTGACCGTGAAACACCTCATCCGCCGAAAGTGTCCCTTTTTCATAGCAACGAATTGCTTATTAGTAGAGTAAAAGCAGGCAAATGCATTTATTGAAATAGTAAATGGCTTCAGAGTCATTGGAGTACTTTTTGGAGATCATGTCTTCATATTGAAAGGGGGAGAATGTTAATAAACATGATCAAGTAACATCCATTGACGACTCTTTTCCTCCCTTTGGGGGGATGCAGAATCCAGAAAGAAGCATATTTCTCAGATTTGCTATAAAAACACAAGATAGCTTTAACTTAACATTTCTTGCTGTAGCTTTTTGACTTTTCCTACATGTAACATTTGGTATTTAATTGTTAGCATATATATGAGTGCCATTCCTAGAAAGTGCAGTTACTGCTTTGAGCTGTACCAAGCACTAGGCTTTAAAATTTTATTTTTTATTGCAGTAATGTGCAAGAGAGGAAAGAAAAAGACAAAATATACAACAAAATACAAAACACAAGTATAAAATATAAAAAAATAAGAAAATGTGTAAAGTAGCTTAGTTTTTAAATTACAAGTTAATCATTATCCACACTGAATCATATTGGTCAATCTTTCCATATGTCTATGGGCAGCTAATTCAGTGGTCGAGTATAATTCTTCAAGATGGGATTGTAATTCCATAAGGATAAATGTCTGTGCAGAATTATCTTTACTCTGGTATATTCCAAGCAGACAAAAAGTCCGCACACATCTTCATAAATTTTTGGTATGTAATTCAATATTATACTTTCATCCTGAAACCTCACTTTGGTTTCCCAAGTCTTTTTTAACAGTAGGATGAATACTAAACCAAATGAGACAGCCAAAGTGACATCCAGGTCTTGTATATTAGACTGCTCTCAAATATATTACATCTCTAGCATAAGAACACTGATATTTTAGCCTTTTTAACCACTGAGGTAGGCAATAAACACATACAAATCATTCAATGACTTCATCTCATGATCATAAGATATGCATTTTACCTACTGGCTTCATGTAGATGTCAACAGAAGTGGGAAGAATGCTACGGTAAGTCCTGCTGCACCCTGCAAAGCAAGGGCCATAGGCAAGACTGAATAGAACCAGTTTAATTTATTAGAATATTTAGACAAGAACAACCAAGTTCCTGCAGGGCTGATATTTTTAGATGCTGAAAAAGCTTTTGATCAATTGAATTGGCATTTTATGTTAAGAGTAATTGAAGAGATGAATTTTGGTGAAAAGATATTACAAGCTCTTACGGTAATATACCAAAAACAAACGGCTCAACTTATTGTTAATGGAGGCTTGTCAGAGGTTTTTACAATAGAGAAAGGTACTAGACAGGGATGTCCATTATCACCGTTGTTGTTTGTTTTAACACTGGAAATATTGTTGATCAAAATTCGAGAGTCGCAGGAAATAAAAGGAATAGAAGTTAACAAAAAAGAATATAAGTTAAGAGCTTTTGCGGACGACTTGGTGGTTACTTTGTCGCAACCTACTCATTCTGTAGTAAAGTTATTGCAGTTGATTTATCACTATGGTTTGGTTTCGGGTTTCAAGATTAATGTTAATAAGACTAAAATCCTACCTAAAAATATGACTATTCGGGAGAAGCAGATTCTGGCTAACCTGACGGATTTTGAAATTGTTAATAAGGTAAAATATTTGGGGGTGTTGTTATCTGTTTCTAATGCAAAATTGTTTAAAAATAATTATGAAAGGTTGTGGGTCAGTGTACAGAAAGACCTGAGGAATTGGGAGAAGTTGCAATTATCCCTCATGGGAAGAATTGCAGTGATAAAAATGAATATTCTACCCAAGTTTCTTTTTTTGTTTCAAATGCTACCGATTTTGAAGAACGAGATTAACTTAAGTGAATGGCAGAAAGGTATTAATAAATTCATTTGGGCAGGGAAAAAGCCTAGGGTTAAGTTTAAAATCATGCAAGACTTCTGTGAGAGGGGTGGACTCAAGGTACCGAATTTGAAATTATACTATGATGCGGTGGTTTTAACATTAATCAGTGATTGGGTAAATTTAACAAACCTTGAGATACTTCATTTGGAGGGATGGGATTTACTTTTTGGTTGGCATGCCTATTTAATATTTAATAAAAAAGTGGATCGGGCTTTTAAATCTCATATTATAAGAATCTCTTTACTTAGGGTTTGGAGAAAATATTATAAAAGTGATTTTAAAGTACCACTATGGGCTATACCATGGCATGCGATAGAAGGAATAAAAAGAGGTGTTAAAATGGACATGGTGTCTTATACACAGTTACTTAGATGGGATGGACAAAATTGGCAGTTAAAACTACTGGAAGAGTTAGTACATGAAAACATTACTTATTCTTGGTTTCAATATAGGCAATTAGTAGATAGATGGAAGATGGATCATAAGCTGGGTTTTCTCAGAGAAGATGAAAATCTTATTAAGCAAGTGAAGGATCAAAGACAAACTCATATTAAGAGAATTTATGGGGTTTTAGTGGAATTGGACTCAGAAACAGAATTAATTAAAGATTGTATGATCAGATGGGCGCAAAATTTTGGTGAACCAGTCCTACTGGATACCTGGGAAACCATTTGGGTGAGAAATGTTAAATTTACACAAGCACAGAATTTAAGGGAGAATTTCTACAAAATGTTTTATAGATGACACCTTGACCCACAAAAAATGTCTTTTATGTACCCTGACCTACAGCCTAAATGTTGGAGATGTGGTTGTTTGGATGCCACCTATTATCATATTTGGTCATCGTGCAGAAATATAAAAGCCTTTTGGATTAAGATATGGTGGAATATTCAGAGAATTTTTAGAAGGAGGGTAGAATTTACTCCACAATTATTTTTGTTAGGTATAGTTACGGATTGTGACACAAAGGAGGTTATATTGATGTTAAATTTGATCACAGCCGCAAGGCTGTTAGTAGCACAATATTGGAAGAAGGAATCTTTGCCCACTTTGCAGGAATGGTTTCTTAAAGTGTCTTATTTGGCGGAAATGGCAAAGATTTTGGCTTTTTTAAAAGAATAATCGCAAGAGAAATTTCTTGCTGTTTGGGATAAATGGATAAAGTTTATACAATTTAAATTGGATATAAAAAAATACCATTTAGCTTTTTCATAACCTTTATTTTTATATATATATATATATATATATATATATATATATATATATATATATATATATATCTTAGTGTTATATTCTTTTTTTATATATATATATATAACTTTTTTAATTTTTCTTAATTAAGCCTACATTCTGCTCTGGG